GAAGATTCTGAAATGGCTGCCCCTCCTGCCCTTGGGACCTGCTTTTAAGCTGAGGCTTTTGCCTTTGGCCTGTGCTGCAGCTGTGTTGCAGCCGCATACCATGGCCTAGACCCTGGTCATGACCTAGGGAGTGACTTTCTGGCTTGGTATCAGACCTGCCTCATCACTAGGGACCTGGTAGTGATCCCTAGACTATGTCTGGCCTTTGTTACCACTTCTGAACCCAGTTCTGACTCAGCCTCCTGCCTTGACCTCGGAGCTGTTCCATCACTACATATTTGTTTGGTAATGTGGACTTCAGGCTGGCTGGGGCAGTCCTCCCTGGGCCAGCCCTGCATGAATACAGCGGGAGCGAGTCTTGGCTGGTTAATTCCCTACATTCATGGTCTTTGATGCAATTCCATCTCCCTTGCCTTCCCCCCCCCCGCCGCCCCCGACAATGCCAAACCTTCTCAATTACCTTTTCTAGCTCTGGTACATCTGTTTTACAATGTGGGGACCAGAACATGAAAATCCCAGACCTTACAGAGGCATGATGGTTTTGTCTCTCTTTCTTCCATAACCATGCCTCTCACTGTTTTTGCTTCTTTGACCACTGTTACTTTCAGAGAACTGTTAAGAGGATACTAAGGTCTCTTTCCTGAGAAGCAGCCAAGTAAGTCCAACCACTCTTTATATAAAATGCTTCCCTATGCACTTGCTACTGGTTTTCCTCTCCCCTTTACGTCACCTGCCATTCTGTATCAAGAGTTCTTTGGTATATATGAATAGATTAGCACCATTAGCAAACTTCACTTACTTACTCAGTGAAGTTTCAATACTCAGTTTCTGATTAAGGTAAGTTATATAAGCCCCAGTGAAGGTTTAAGTGAAACCTACTGGCAGTTCATTCCAGCATGAAGCTGTTTATTCGTGCCCTGTTTGCTGACTTTTAGCAAGTTGACTTCCCAGAGATGAAAGAGCTGCAGAAAGATCCACCTTTCAGCAACTCTACAAACTACAAAAGAATAAGCAACCACAAATCCATGCTAAGTACTAGATATTATTTCCCCATTTTAAATACTCATCTGAAAACATAGTTCTAGAATAAAATATAAAATTCCTAATTTTATACTTTTCTCTTTAATTCCTCCATTATTTGGCAAGTTTTAAGTTATGATTATAGACATAATTCCCAGCTGTATAAATGGTAAATGCCATTTCATTTGTTTCCATTGAATACTTGAATCCTCATAACATTAATATAAACTATTACTACCACTTGTAACTATTTAGCACCATAATGACATCTGCTACACACAGTAAAAGAAATGTGACCAAACTGATCACACTAAAGCTCTCAGTAACACAAGTACAGGTTATGGAATAAACTTACAGCAGTGGCACAAGCTTGGCTGAACTGAACCTTGAGGCATTATATGCTATTCCTTACACTTTATAACCAAGCTGGGAATGTCACTGCGATAAAATCTTACAGTGGACATTCTAAACACAAAATCCGCTGTCACATTGTTTGATATGATCTCTTCACAGATTAGATCTCTCACAGAAAAAATGTATAATCAGTTTGAACACCTTTTCAGTCCTTTAGAAGCTAAAAAAGTGCCCAGGCAGAACACGCCACTGAGATTCTACCAATATCCATGGTCCTTACAGAATTAAAGTGAGCAAAATTCAAAGAGGAACACTAAAACTTCAACATACCAGTCAGCTTGATACAGGGAAAACATGTTCCAAACCCCAAACTGGGCTATCAGATTGTTCCTAAACAGACCAAATCACACAAGCAGCTAAAAATACCATTCTTTATGTTACCTTGGAGCCCACCAGCCTGACATGCCATCTCCAATCACAGGCAAGCTCTTACACTTCAGAAGGCAGGAAAATATGCATTCAGGAATGCACCTGGCTCATTTCTCATTGGGCAAAACATTTTTGGTGACCAGGTGAAAGACAATATTTGTCATATTGGTGGTACAAAAGAACAGCTTAGCTGACTGAACAGCAGTGCCAGTGCTGACCTCACTTTCCCCAAATGTTGGCCCTTTTGCTCTACACAGACTTCTGAGCTGCTTATGGATTAGCAGAACTCACAGCCTCACACTGTAAGTGAAACCACTGATGTCAGTTTACTCAAAAATGATGGCTTTGCAAACAGTGGCAGTGCACTAGGAGCTCACGGCCCATATGGACGGGAGAGGTAAACATTTGGGCATAATAACATTGTCAGGTATACCAAGCTCATCTGATCCTTTCCCTCTTTGCCCATTTCCTTGGAAAAGGAGATTATAACATAATTTAAAAAAAAAGATAAAGAGGAAAAAATGAAAGGAAATGCAAGAGGTATTTTTTTCTTTTATAGGTGCTGCATGCACTCAAATATCTCTTAGAAGTGGCTATAGGGCTCCTAATGTCAACTGCAAAAGGTCACTTTGTGCAGTTCCCAAGATATGTTTGTGGATTAAATTTATCTGGTTTATGCAAATGAGATGGATTTCATTACATGACCCAAGATTAGGCATTAGTGCTTTTCACACAGTGCCTTAGATCCTTGCTATTTTAATTTTATTTCATATGACTGAAAGTAATGGGAATGTTGCTCAGAACACCCTGAATATATCCAAAAATCATACCTTTCTGAAAAATAACTTACTTTCTTTCACTGATTCCTCCCTTGACTGGCTTAATATTAACAGCCTGTTAAATTTTTCTAGCTGATGAATCAGTAGGTTATTTCCTTCATTAATTTCTGACATTTTCTAGAAAATAGGAAAAAGACTAACGTTGTATTGATATGTTTTGATTTAAGTTTTAAATCTTGAGTTTGATGTTAACATAAAATTTGACAGCTTCACAACATTGCAGTCACAAAACTATTATTTGCCATGCAGGAAATTCCTTTATAGAGAAGAACAATGCTAGACTTGAGAGTTTACTAAGAATGCCAACTTAGATCATTAGTTACAAACTGTTCTCCTCTCAGTTCTGTGGCCCACAGGCTGCATGAGTCCTCAGCAAGGTTCTTTCTACTGCTTTGCATGTAAGGCTATCAATGCCCTTGTGGGGCAACAACATGAGTAATGGGTGGAAATAGGAACTCCTAATAATGTTTTTTTCCATGAGAAATGCCAGATTTATTTCAGGTGCCCCATTTATATTATCCCTAGTATGGATTTGCTAATCAGGAAATCAGCAGATAGCTGATCAGCGTGGGTCTAGGAAGAAATACAGTACTGATTTTCCTCAGTGGGTCAATCATTTAAGAAATAACATATGTGTAAAATAAGGAGAGCTGAATGCATATGGAATATAAGAACAAATACTCCTGATATGGCAATGACATTTTTCTAGAACAAGGAACAACTCCTGAAAGTATAGTCCAGCACTATACCACCTGGTCTAGTGGATGGTGTCCCTGACCATGGCAGGGGGGTTGAAACTAGATGGTCTTTAAGGTCCCTTCCAACCCAAACCATTTAATGATTTTATGACTCTGTGAAAGCTGTGTAATACTGTTATCTTCAATACCAGCTTCCTGAGAAGCAAAACTTGGCCTCTGCACCATTAAAATTCTAGCACAGAAACAAAGGCTTCTCAGACTCCACAGAATTCACTCCTATGACTCCAAGATATAGTCAATACAAACATTTTCCAAACAAAGTTGATATTACAAGGCATACCAATAAGCTGATACCACTAAGAAGAAATTTTCACTTGAAAGGCTTTTCAAACTGTCACAAAATAATTATAGACAGATGTTTCAACGATTTTTACCATTTTCACTTACCTTTTCTATCTCTGAGAAGTCATTTAAAAGTTTATTGAGGTCCACCACACTGGTTTTCTTCACAGTTTCTTCGTTGCTGTGGTTCATTTATTTCTGGACCATATAATTTAGTGATCACTGTATATATCAAAAACAGATCTATGAATTCATGTATTTCTTGTTCATACTATATAAATAAGTTCTTATGCGCAGATGTGAGCAGGACAAAGGACACTTTAATAAAGCAAGGACTATTTTAGCATGTGAAGCTAAGCTTCAGACAACTACAGATCTTGCATTTCTAGGACTGCAGTGAATATCAGAAAGCCCAAGCAGAATCTATGGAACTGTTAGTTGATACAGTTGAATTTGGAATTTTTGCTGCAATTAAAAATAAACCTGAATCCACTTCTGTAGACAGAAGGATGCACCATGCACATATCTATGCAGCATTTAGACCTTTACTTGTGTAGATGCTCTAATACATAACTACTCAGGTTTAAAGTTACTTACACATTTTCTCATAAATGGTTTGCCTTAAGGTCAGTGACAGACACAGCAGCACATACCTCTTACCACAGAGTAAAAAGACAGTGTATTGAAAAAGTACCCACATAGTTCCAGGTTATTAACACAATTCCTGTTTCTATAAACTCTGTTTACAGAGTGTTCAACACACATCTGCAAGGTGGATCTGAAATACACAATGTGAATGCGTCTAAAAATATCAGAACTCTCTCTGAACACCAGGTTCTGTGAGACAAAAGGTCCAGTACCAGATAAACCACGTGGTCCAAACAAAACCATCACTTCTGTGTGTTAATGTGTGAACAGCCTTGTCACAAACAGCAAGAATTTGCAATAAGAGAGGTGAACCAGAAGTCAGAATGTGTTCACCACCCAGCAAGGGAATGCGTTTCCAGGCAGAAACACTTGCAGTACAGTTAAGCAGAAATAGAGAGGCAAATGCACAGTACTATGCAGGAACCAAAACTATATAACTGAATTATTTTCTCAGTTATTCAATATTTACAAGTCTTTCAGAGAGTAACTTCTTTACCAAAGCAGTAAGATACTGGTTCTTGTGTTTAATACTTCTTTCTTTTTCTTGTACCCACTGTTTCCTCACTGAGACTAAAACTAATTTATTAGCTAAATCTTTTTTTTTTAAATCCAAATTTTTAAATAATATAGGTAATATGAAAGATCTAATGCTTCTAAGTTAAATTAGTGGTTTTTTTTACCAAGCAATTTTAATGACTTCTAATTAACTACAATGCAATTAGTGGAGTTTTAAATTTTTATTCAGGATATTCAAGCTTTTCAAACAATCACACATCTTAATATTCTATTAGTTGATAATCTGAATGCACACTATGCATGTCAAGCCCTGACCTCTCCAGTCCTGATCATGGCCAGTATCTCATGTTTTTCAACCTCCATTTGTTTTCATCGTGCCCTAAAACTATGTCCTACCCTCCAAATTTTGTCTGAGGGTGGGAGCTCAGGGAGTTCAGGGAGATGCCACATTGTGTGCTGTTTTGTTTGTGTGTTTCCTTGCTCTATGGCATCACTTCTTTTCTCAGAAGTCGGGATGTGCTCAGTACTTGGCAGCACTAGCCAACAGTGCCACTGGGAACAGAACTCGTGCTGAACTGAAATGGTGAATTAAAAATAATGTTGTGTTATTAATGTTGTGTTTTTTCCAGCAGGAAAAGTCACCACTGTTATTTTTGTGTGGACTTACCATTCTCTGTATGTTATGTCTTCCAAAGGCATTTTGTTAAGTTTCCTACCCCTGTTTTGAACTATGATATTTATGTCACTGGGGGAAAATTAAGATCTAAATTGTGTTTTGACTGCCATCAAAATGACACCTTCCTTTCATCTCTTCTTAACCCCTTGCCATCCATGCTTTCTCAGGAGCCTTTTTTATCTGTTGTGGCTAGTGATCTCATTTTGAAATTTAAGTTTTCTTCTTTTTTTTTTTTGCTTCATATAGCAGTGAAACCTAAACTTTAACACAGATATATAAAAAGCAGATATTAATGTTTAAACACTTATCTCAACTGAATACAGCAATTATAATAGTAATTCCTCATCATCTCGGGTGGTTAAGGCTCTACATCCATGGTCTTTTATGCAAGACTGGCTCCTGATTCTCTCCCACTTGCTCCTCCCTGATAATAACAAACCTCTGTTACCTTTTCTAGCTCTGGTATGTCTGTTTTGAATTGTGGGGACCAGAACATGACAATCCCAGACCTTACAGAGGCATGATGGTTTTGTCTCTCTTTCTTCCATAACCATGCCTCTAACTGTGTTTGGTTCTTTGAGCTCGGAAACTTTCAGAGAACTGTTAAGAGGATACCAAGGTCTCTTTCCTGAGAAGTAGCCAAGTAAGTCCAGCCACTCTTTATATAAAATGCCTCCCTATGCACTTGCTACTTCATATAGCAGTGAAACCTATATTTATATAGAGTAGATAGTAATTTTAAAATGCGTATCTCAGCTGAATGTAGCAATTATTAAATAACAATTGTTGTTAATTTTTAATAATAATTCTCAATTATTATTATGTTTGTCATACTGTTTCATTA